ATTGCATGAATATCTTGCAACTAATGGTTTTCTAAAACCATTTGATTTCGATCCAAAATGGCAACTTAACCCTCTTTTGCATGTACCATTGTCTTTCAACTATGCCATCTAGTAAAATCTTTTAAAAATAGATACACTATCCAATCAGTTGAATAATATATATCTTAGATTGGATCTTGATCAACAAGCAAAGATATAGTCAATCTTATAAGAATTGACATTCCAGCAATATTGAATTCCAAACAATCCTAATTGCCAATATTTTTGGAGACATCTTTTAAGTGCATTAAATTGCAATAAATCACAATCTTTTATTTTTTTAAAAACCCTCATTGTTTGAAGTTGTGAATGAATAACAACGGCAATATAAGGCATGTGGCCAAGTTGGATTTAATATCAAAATATGTTTTGCACTACCATATCTAATTTAATTAATATTTTGTATTAGAATTTTTAAACATAATTAAAATTAAATCAATTAAAGTTGTTGATATTAAAAAAGTTATAAGTTATATTGATAGAAATTGGAAATTTTTTAAGAATGAAAAAATAATTATTATTTAGAAAGTCTTATCCTATATTTGTAAGAATTCTTCTAAAGATCTTGAATAATTTAAGACTTATCAACTTAACATGGATAATCCAATATGAAGAAAGAATGAGCCTTTGTCAAGAAGTAATAATTAATACAATACTATCTTTGACTTCTTCATTATGATTGACAAAATTCTTATAATTTCTAATATTTTATTCTATCAAATTGGAAGTAATCCATTGACAATATTGAAGATAAAGAACATATTAAAATAATATTTTATTTTATTTTATTTTATTTTATTTATTGTTAAATGTGAAACATTTGTGCAAATAGAACACTTATATTTTTCATGGTTTATCTTGTAGAAACTTTATTACAAAAAAATAAGACAATAATATGGCCAAATTATTTAATTCAAGAGAGTTTTTCAACATGTAGGAAGATATAGAATATATAGTAGTCATCAATTAACTAAATGCTTTTATTTACAGTTTTCAATAGTGTACAAAATTTTAATATTTTCTTACAACTAGAAATTGAGTCAATTTCTAATATAGTTAAAAACTATTGCATTTTGATGCAATTGTTTGTGAAAGATTTTTGTATAAGCAATCATAGTCACCTCAATTTTTTGCATCAACTCTATACATTTACAATCACGGAATCTTTTCTAAATCTTAATGGAAGACTAAAGCTCATGTATTGAAATTCCAAATTATAACTATATGTTATATCTCCTAGCTTATACTTACTTGTTATATTGAAAGACAATGAATAATGTTATTGACATGGATGGCATGATTTCATGGTTATTTGAAATCTTTGATGAGATTGACCTTGAAAAGTATTTTATAGGTTGAAGAGACAATGGTTGGATTGCATGTAGCAATTAGCTTGACACAATTACTTGAATTTTGTAGTTTGATAATGAAAATATGTAAATATCTATTTTTGATAACTAACATTTTTGATATTTTTTTGTACAATATAATTTAATATTAAATAATTTGGAGGTTTTTTTTTGGAAAATTTTGGTTCTAAGTATAAAAAATTGATGTAATTTGTATTATAACTAATAAGATTTACATAATATATCAAGATAATTATTTAATATTATTATATGCTTTAAAAATTCAAAATCTTCTTATTAATATTAAATGAAATGATATTATATCTTTATCTACAAATTTTTCTATGAATTGCAATATAACATAAAAAAATTGATACTAAATTTACTTGATTTTTAAACATTGAGTCAAAAAAACAATTTTGTTGTTAAGTGCGATAATAAGCTTTTAGAATTTTATTTTGAAAGGTGCTTTAACATCTTTAGAATATAATAGTAATATCAAAATCTTCTCAATACATGCATTTGGAAGTGAAAGATATGTAAATTAATACAATATATTTTAGACATTTCATTGCATAAGAAAAATCTTGATGTTGTCAAAAAAGATTTGGCTTTTATTATAGAAAATCTAAGCACATTGCTTAAAAATATCCAAAGAAAGTGTTGCTACCACAAAATAAAGAGCATGATTTTTTGAATAGATAAGAAGTTAAAAATAAATTAATCAACTACAATATAAATTGTGTAATTAGAATCTTATGCAATATCTAGTAAAAGACTTATTCTTTCTTTTGAATCCTCTCTTTTTTTTATAATAGATTTTTTTTTAGGACCTAAAAATCACAATACCTTTATCTTATTAGATTTATAAGCTTCATCTTGTTCTATAAATTAAGTTTTTTAAAAAGATATATCATATTTTTAGCTAAAAAACTAAGTCTATATATATAAAAGTTATAGATGGTTCTTTTTATCTTTTAGTGATGTTATTCATGAAAATATTTTTTTAAATGTAACAAAAAATGGTCATAATAGCTCTATAATATTTTATATTACTAAGCCTCTTTCTAACTTATTCATTTTGAATTTATTGTGGCTAAAAATATATAATCTTTTAATAGACATGATTTATTATAATCTTATATTTTTTTCACAATACAATTAAAAAAATTTCTAATCAAAAGATGGATCATAATCCTAATATAATCAAATAATTATTTATAAGATTAAGAGTTCTTATATATGATAAAAAAAAGAAATAAATTTATTTATTAAATATGTTTTACCTATTTTTAATTAAAAAAATACTTCAAGTAATATTCTAATCTAATATAAAGATTATGAGGATGTATTTAAAAAATAAATGCAAATATTCTTTTGAAGCATTTTCCTTGCAACTACTCAATTATTCTTTAAGAATGAATTTAATTATTTTTTTGACCAATCTATAGTTTATAATAAAATAAGTTAGTTTCTCTTAAAGAATGTATTAATGAGAACTTGCCTAAGAATTTCATATTCCACTCAAAATCTCTAAAAATAGCTTTTATCTTATTTATAAAGAATAAAAGATAAATATCTATAGATGTATATAGATTATTGAAGAATTAACAAGATTATAATCAATAATAAGTATCTTCTACTTTTGATATTAGGATTTTTTTATCAATTGAATCAAGCTAAGATCTACACCGAAATAGATCTATGGAGAGCATAAAAATTTTATATTAAAAAAAGACATACATAGAAGATTGTATTTCAAATCAAGTATATTTTTTTTGAATATAATTTAATATCTTTTGGACTTACAAATCCTCTAACTACTGTATAATCTTAAACAAATGATATTTTTAGAGATTTTTTAGATGATTTTTTTGTTTGATATTTAAATAAAATTTTATTTTATTCTAAAAACATAGAAGAGCAAGACCATCTTATTTTTTGGATATTACAAAAAATTTAGAGGTAAAATATTCTATGCTAAGATAAAAAAATAAAATAAAATAAAAATTAAAGTGTATATTTCATACAATACTTGTTGATTTTGTAGGATACATAATTTTAAATAATGGCATTATAGTAGATTTAAAGAAAATTTTGACTTCTATGAATTAAAAAATTCTAAAAATAATAAAAGATATCTATATTTTTTATTTTTTTAATTATTATTGAATTTTTATCTATATTTTTTTCAAGTCATTACTTCATTTATACATTTGACTTTTATAGACAAACTTGAATCAAATAAAGAAATCATAGGAATATTCAAAGACTTAAAAATAACTTTTTATTCTAGCACCAATTTTATATCCAATTGACTTCTTGAAGCCATTTTTTATAGAAAAAAGCACATCAAACTATGCCTTAGATATAGTGTTGTCACGAACAAGAATAGATGTCAAACATCATTTTATAAATTCTCATTTAAGAAAATATAAATAATTCAGATTATGTATGAGATATATATATATATATATATATATATATATATATAATGTAATTATAGATTCATCTCAAGAATGTTACCATTATTTAAAACGACATTTCTAGTACAATAACTATTTAGATAGATAATAAAAAAAACTCAAGTAATTTATATCAATACATATTTAGAATCATTGTTGAGCTTGTTGAAGTGTGTTTTGTCAAGATTTTTATTTCATATTAATTATTGATTAATAAAACAATAAGGTTTGTCATGTAACATATTAAGACAATCTTATCTTGCACAAAAAGAAAAGAAAAAAATGTAACTTATAGTCAACAACAAATAATTCTTCTAAAGCTGAAGTAATTTCATCTTTATTTTAAAAAATCAACATTAACTATTGATTAAAAAAAATAATAAAATTCATTCAAGTATTTCTTCAAATTTTCTTGTTTGTGATATTAAAAATAATTCTTTTAAATCTCAAGATACTTCAAAGTTTGAATTTAAGAACAACATTCTTTATTTTGTGAATAAGACCTTTGTTTTAATTTTAGTTGTTGCTCTTCTACATGTTTTTTACCACCTTGCAAGGAAAAAAACGTATAAATATATTTATTTTCCTACTTCTCTTCATAACTAAAGTAATTTATTCTTAAAACAATACTAAATCTTTCTTCTCAATTATTAATTCCTTCATAGTTTTTTTCTTATACATTGTTTAGTATGTTTCCTTTTAATGATTTTAGTCAATAACTTTAAATAAGTTTTTAAATTCCTATCAAATAAGTATATGCAGGAATAATCTCATTAAATATAGGGAAAATTAACTTATAATGTTTCTTCCGAAACATTATTACAAATAAACGTGAGCGCAGGGTATCAATATATGGAACCAATTAGGCATCAACCAGCTATCATCATCCATGAAAAGGACGATTTAGATACCTTCATCCTCATCCATTATTTGAATTAGGTCCGACATCGACAGCTCTAGAGGCGCCCGTGAATTTGGCGGGGATGACAAGCTGGAACGGAAGACCGCTGGAGACCACGAACGTGGCGCCCTGCAATATCACCACGACCACTACCACCGCTTTCAAAACACTGTCAGCCATCACTCTCCAACACGGTGAACGGTGATAGGTCCTCCTCGACGTCGTCGTCGTCTTTTTCGTCCTTGGTGTGGTTTTGTGTGGACACGGTGGCTCAGCTCTCGCCTCTCTTGTGATTGTGCCTCACTCACCTGGAACATTGACATGGCCTGGCTCTCACAGACAATTTTCCATTGCATAGATTCCTTTGCACTGCTTTCCCAAGAACATTTTGAGCCGCTGTTCGGGAGGTGATTTCTGTTCCTGTTACGGGAAGGACGGCCACGAAGCTTCTCTACGAATATTTGTGGAGTGGTGAGGTTTTTGGAGGTGGCCACAATGGCGACTTCTAGAGTTGCCGCGGCCTCGTCGTTGCAATACCAGCTGTTGGCTGGAACTACGCAGGATTGCAAGCAACGAACCGCGGTTAGTAGAATACCCATGGGCCTCGGCTCGTCTGGTTCTCTTCACAGGGGCGTCTCTAGGGGCCTACATGCGGAGGGGAGCCAGAGGTTTTGGGCCGGTGTCCTGAGGAGGAGCGTCGCTGTGCGAGCGAGTTCGAATCAGAGCATTTCTAGGCCGGCGGACAAGCCCCGCTTCATCCAGCACAAGCAAGAGGCATTTTGGTTCTATAGATTTTTGTCAATTGTGTATGATCATGTGATAAACCCCGGACATTGGACTGAGGATATGCGGGAGGACGCCCTGGAGCCTGCCGACTTGAACGACCCGAATCTGACGGTGGTTGATGTAGGGGGCGGCACTGGATTCACCACCCTTGGCATTGTCAAGACTGTGGACGCCAAGAATGTGACTATTCTCGATCAATCTCCACATCAGTTGTCCAAGGCCAAGGAGAAAGCGCCCCTCAAGGACTGCAAGATCATCGAAGGAGATGCCGAGGACTTGCCCTTCAAGACGGACTATGCTGACCGATACATTTCAGCGGGAAGGTACGACCAGTTTTTTCTTCTCAAGAAGATGTCCGGCGCCGATAATCCACTTTGTATATTCATCATGCTTCATATTTATATGCTTCCGGGGTGCCTCGAGTCCTTGGTTATCATTTTCGAGGTATCGAATCAAATGTCTGCTTACAGTTTTAATCTTCTGTAAAGAATTGGTCTTCTGCATCGTGGTTTGAGTTTGTTACTTGTTTATCCGTGCACGCTCCGCTCACGAATGGTTTTGACAGCTGATTCTGTGTGATTGTCGCAGAGACACGGTAGAGTTTCGCATTGCTTGAGTTTTCTATGAATTTTTTCTTGATATCTTGGTTATTTTCTTTTTAAACTAAGTAAGAAATGAGACGGTGTCAAGAGACTATTTGAATTCATTGTTTTCTGTATGGATGTTGTTTGTGTTGTCTGTGGAGTGTGCAGCGTGAGCGTTTTGTTTGTCTGTTATAACTAATAGGAACTGTCTCAGATTAATTCCTTCAACGTTTATTTTGCTTGTTATATTTTTCAAACCATACGTCTACGGGTTTTATCAACGAATACGGCCTATCTGAAAACCTGCTTAGTGTGCCTCATTGCAAAAATTGGAGAAGTAATAAGCGGATTTGAGCCTACATGTCAGCACGGCTTTTTGATTGTTTGGCTCGCTTCTTCCAGTAATGCTCTACTAATTTACACCATTGTGCCGTTCTCATTTCATATATGTTACAGGTGTTTATTTATTCTATTCTACTGATTTGATTGTCCCTTCACATTTCTGTAAGTATGCATTCAGCGCTCTAGTGTTCTGTTTAGCAAAACCCTAAACCCTAAACCTCGGTAGATATCATTTTGATGAATTTTTGGCAATTTCGTATGCTTGTGCAGCATTGAGTACTGGCCCGACCCTCAGCGTGGTATCACCGAAGCCTACAGAGTACTAAAGAAGGGAGGAAAAGCGTGCCTCATCGGTCCTGTGCATCCTTCGTTCTGGCTGTCCAAATTTTTTGCCGACGTATGGATGCTCTTCCCAACAGAAGACGAGTACATGGAGTGGTTCACAAAGGCTGGTTTTACTGACGTAAAGATTAAGAGAATTGGACCAAGTTGGTATCGAGGAGTTCGGCGTCATGGTCTCATTATGGGATGTTCGGTTACTGGAGTGAAGGCAGAAGCTGGAGAATCTCCGTTAAAGGTAAACCAATTTTGTTGCCGTGTACGGTCTTTGCATAAGGCAATTTATGGGTTAACCATTGTTTTAAAAGGTAATTACTGTATTAGTCATGTCTTTGCGAGCGTGTACAGTGCATAATCAGGGAACTGTGATACCTAGCACTTTTCTACGTCTTACTGATCATTTATTTCATTTTGTGCAGCTGGGACCGAAGGCAGAGGACGTGAAGGGCCCGTGGAATCCATTGTCCTTCGTTTACAGATTCATCGTCGGAGTTGTTGCTTCATTATACTATGTCCTTGTACCTATCTACATGTGGTTGAAGGACCAAATTGTTCCGAAGGACCAGCCTATTTAAAATGCTATTTTTTCACCCAATACCCCGTCTTTCTGCGGGTATAGCAGCAAGAAGTCCCCCTGAGTGATGTTTTTTTGTTCAATTGACGGGGCGGCAGTGTAAAGTTTGTTTCATACCCTAGGGAATTACACTCTTTTCATCTGTTTTGTAGCAGGAGTTTATCTACCAAGGCTATGTAGGTAGTGAAAGTCCAACACGATTCTTTCCGCCATTCATTAAATTGTTCCCTGAATATACCAACCATCAATGTAGCCAGTGTATTCAGAAATAAGTTCAGAGTCTACTGAAACGAAGTTTTGCTTTGCCGTCTGTGCATTACCTTGACGCTAGAATCCCCACACAATGAATGACAAATGTGAGTAAGTGATGAATTTTTGAGTTCAAATCATCAGCTCTTACCAGCAATAGACAAAAGAATATGAAAGTGGTGAAATGCAGCCTTGACAATCTTACACATGTTTCGAGAAAACGATTTTTAATAGGTAGAAGATTATTTTTATAACTTTCGCAGCATTATTTACCACATAGAAATGACTACACGTCTTTCAAATGTGAACTAATCGAATTAGACGGTGCATGTGTTCTCACCATGTAACGTTTCGGTAGACTCTAAGTTATACTTTATTGTTTTCATTTAATTTTCACTATATATAGTGAATAGGTGCGTAGTCATATATAACCATCTTTTCTTTTTGGAATATTTGTTCTCCTCTGGCGAGCATTTTGTGGGAAGAAAATACGTAATAGTAAATTAGTACTATTTGATGACTAAATTCAGTACTACGGACCGATACAATAAATAATGCGTGTATGACTACTTTAAACAATGTTAAATTCATGATCACTCTGTGTAGTTTCTCTATATTTGATGCGTAATAAAACGAAATAAACTTTTGATGAAGTTCAGTCTCTGCCTCAAGGTTTTTAATCTTGAAAATCACCATTCTACTGTTGATTAGATAAATTCCGAAGTAAATAGAACTTAGTATAAATAGATAGAAATAAATTGGGTGTATAATATTTTTTTAACACACAGCTAAGAAACTTTTTAGAAGATGATTGAACCATGAGGTGTCATGAAGCTATGAAAAATCCTCTTAGATGGTCTTTATATCTTAAAACCCATTGCGAAAGCATCCTACAACTTTGACTTTTGATTCATAGTGTTGTAGCTTTAATTAAAAGATCCACATGATCTTTTAATTAATTAGTATATATGGATCCAAGACAGACAATATTCAATACTATGAATATATTTTTTTGTCTTCTTCTCTCTAATTGTTTGTATTTTGCAATAGCTATTCTACTATTTTTCAGTTCTAGATTTTGTCATTTTTTTCATTCTAATCATAATTTAAGACTCTCTACTCTTTCATACTTGGAAATAGTCTTGTATATATATATATATATATATATATATATATTGTTTTTATTTTTATTTTTTTGGTTGTAAATAAACACATTTTATTTTTCATCTCTCTCTCTTTCTCTCTCTCTATATATATTAGTCTTTGATAGATTAACAAGACTAGTATATTGAATTGGAATATTTTAAATATTAAAATAAAATATTAGTTATTGTCTATTTTTAATGTACCTTAAATATTTTTTATTAATTGATATTTTTAAATTTTTTGTTAAATATTTTATTTTATTTATATTTTCTTTTTAAGTATTTTTATATATTAAAAAAATTGGTAGTTTAGAAAAATTCTAGGTATACACTCTCTCTTTCATTGAGTGCAAATTTAATTTAATTTAATTTTTGTGTAAATGAAGTTTTTGCTCTATGGCGTCAGGGTGTCCACCTAGTGGTTTCCTTATTTTATAGTTTATTTTATCTAAAATGATTTAGTAAAATCTAAAATGGTCTAAATAAAAAAATCAGTACTTGCAATTCATTAACTTATTTTTACTTAAACAACAAATATTCAAAATGGTTCGTGATAATAAACATATTGTGTTATAGTTTCTTCAACAAACATCCTCTTTTGTATAAATTGTTCTATTCCAAATAAGCTTAGAAATAGAATAATATCAATCAAAGAACCAAAATTTGTTGTTTTTAAGAAGTTTGATTGTAACACATCAAATTTTTTGTGGACTTATTATCCACTTACAATCTAATATTATATTTTAACTACAAAGATTATTTAACTCCAACATATTCCGTTAGGTTTATAAGATTATTGCATAGTTGACTAACTTAATATTGGTTTTTTGCATGTTAGGAGAAATAAGATACAATTTTGATCAACTTAAATAATATTTTAACATGATTTGTATTTGTAAATGTAACATGTAGATAAAATATTTTGTTCAAGAATTACAAGAATTATAACTAAATATTTTTATAGTTTGATAGCAATAATTTTTACTTATAAAAATATACAATTATGAGTGGAAGATATGCAAATTGATATTTTATAATTTTATTTTTTTATAAAATATAAGAAAGAGATGAAATTTGTAAGTAGGTTTGTGTGTGTATTGTAGAAAATATATACACATTGCTAAACATTGTCTATAGAAGTGATACAATTACATAATAAATAATGTAAATATATATTTTTAAAAAAGTATCAAAATACCTATTTGCCCAATTATAACAAAGACTATGCAAAAACATTCTTCTATATATATATATATATATATATATATATATTCTCACTCAAGTTAATTATAATAACAAGTTTATATTTATTTCATGTTATGAGTTAATTTTTACATATTTCAATGTTTTGATTATACTTTCAATTATATTATTTCTAGTAATAAAAATAAAAAATTTATTAAATTTTTACTTGATTAAATATATTTACTTGATTCAAAAGTTTTAATTCATTGAGAAATATTAAATGTTCAAATAAGTTTTTGTTATAACATTCCAATAATTAAGTCTTCTATGTGGTTTTGCAAATCACATTCAATAAACCTCAAAGTAAAATCATATAGTGTGTATCTTTGATTTTTTCATGATATTGTTGAAGAATTAAAAACTGTTACATTTGAGTGGACTTCAATTCAAAGTCACTAGGACAACAACTTGTATCACAAACATATTCAAATTGTCTATTATTTAATAAAAGCCTACAAAATACAGAATCATGTAGTGAATGACCAAATTTAAGCTATCATATACATAGTTCACATTAAAAACATTATATTATTAGGAGGGAGGGGGTCATACTTAAGAATCTCAAAATCATATAAGCTCTTATATCTTTTCAGACCAATACTTATATCAACAATGGTCCACATTTAATAGAAGTCCTTGCCAATCTGAGAGACCAATTTTTATCACATTAGGGATGTAGCAAATATGCTTTGATACATCCATCCTTATTTTAAATTCTAAACATTTCAAATTTTAAACCTGGCAATCTCAGCTGCTTATTGCTTGTTTGCATCCTTCACACTAATGCAGCCACACCACAACAAATTATCTTTTGATATAAGAGGTAGATTTTTTATACAACCACCTCGTAGAGGTGGTTATACCAAATTTGATACAAGTGTTATATCCTTCAAAATTAGTGCTGAAATCAAACAGGCATACATCACAATATCCATCTTTTGCTTTAAAGTTTGATCCCTCATCTTATTATTATTATTATTATTATCCATATTTATTCATCTATATACATAGGATATTGATAATGCCACCACAATTCCATAAAAATTTCAATCAAATTTTAGTCGAAAATTTCCTGCCACAACCATTTCTTCATATATATATATAGATATATATCTATATATATATCTATATATATATATATATAAATATACATTTTTGACTTGAATAATAAAAATAAAAAAACATGTAAAAATGGTGATAAATTGGAATGATACTAACAAAAATTATGGTGACATTAACACTACCCTATATTTAACATTATATATGTTATCATAGTGTGATATGTTTCTTTGATGAAATGACAAATGTGTGTTATATTTAGATGCTGACATGGCTGCTAATGAAACATATGTCCTCACCCCCTTCAAGTTCATTCATCATGTTAAGTCAAACCGAATGAAGCTCAAGGCTTCGTATCAACAGCGCAACGCAATCTCAGTGGCATTTCAAACAATCTGGTCTATGTGTTCTGCGGGTTTGGTGACGGGTTTAGGATCTCGGCATCGTTGTTGAAGCTGGTACAAGAATCAAAATCGAATTTCCCTCACCCGAACTGCTCCGACCGATCTAACTTTCCCAAACTAAGGCTGCCGATCAAGTTGCGTGTGAGCGATCGTTTGATATGCTCGATTCCGCGAAAGTAATGATATCATTGCAGAATTGTAACAACGGGCACACCCTCCGAACTCCGAGTGCTTTGATTAGAATTTCATAGGGGAATTAGTGGCCACTTTTGCGCGCTCTCTCAATCTGATCCCAGATCGCCGAGCAATACCCGATGAATAGCTCTGTGGACCGGGAATTTCCAGGAATACCGCCTAGAGCCCACAAAATATGCTCTGAATTCTACACCATTCGCTGATGCCGGTAGCACTGTTCCGCGGTGGATGGAGCCTCGTGGATGATCTATTGACACTTGTGCTGCGATTCCTGACCTATTCTGCTCTATCCATATCCCTCAGACAATTACATTAACCTCGTAAACAATTTAGGGTTTTGATGACTGCCAGCCAATGGAGCGCATTCAATGCTCATCTACCAGGGCTTGTGTTTTTTTCTATTGGTGCGGACAGAGACAAGCACTCACAACATCTTCGTGGCTTTCCTCGAAGTACAAACATGATGGCAGCCGAATAATGCGATGAGCTAAAGGATGAGGTGCTCACCCTGGAAGGTTACAACGACATGAGCTTTAAAGCTTTATAAACTGAGAGTATTTATAGTCCAGCAACGAACTCCGCAACGTCGATCACGTCCCTTGTGTTGGACATCGAAAACCCTGTTCCATGTTTTCTATGGGGTTGTTTGGTGCCGGAGATGATTGCGTTAATTGGGTTTTATTGATCATCTGGGGACTCCATGTTGTTACATTGAAAGGCACTCCTGGTCTGAAAGGTTGGTGAAGGCTTGTCTTCTTGGTGTCTTTGTCTCGAAATTACCGATATCGGACACGGAATTTATTTCTTGTCGCAAAGCGAAAGTAAATTCGGCTCGCCCTCACGATCTTTAGTAGGCTTCAGAAAAAAGAAAATTATTGAAAAAAGCAGCGTAAAGAATTTGTCCTCGATCTGTTAAGCTGTCATTGTAGGGGAACGTGGCTGAATAGAATCTCAGAACCCGCTCTATTACGGGATATATAGATAAAAATAGATCCAGTCGAGATATTGTCTGGAGTTCAGGGACTGACGGAGCGCCGGGGATGATTCCAGGGCTAATGTCATGCACCGACTATAGGTCCATCGCGATGCTGCTTGTGGGTTGCAGTGGAACAAGCAGCCGTCTTTGGCCGCCACATTTAGTATTTGTGGGGACAATTATAGTATTCCGTCATCAGGTACATGTAGACACGCGCGGGATTATGTGGTGGACTCCGGTGCATGTCTCCATGCGCCGGGGGAGGATGCCAGTTGAGTCATATTCGGTCGCGTGCTTGATGAGAGATGTCTCACATTGATCACCAGCTCGGCAACCTGCAATTGGCGTACTGACATTGAGAGCCCAGATTAGGTGCGGTGTCATAGTCGCTGCAAGAGGAGTTGTTGGACTGCAAATAGAGCTTGGTGTACACAGAAGGTTTTTGTCTTTGCTGCGTACCAAATCTTCGTCTGGTAGCTCTTTGTGTAGTTGGTTGGAGGTGAGGGAAGATATTGTTGCTTGAGGGATTCGGGTACATTGCTTCTCAGATATGGAGCTTGATGAGCGGAATGTTTGAGTCTGCGGAACTAGACTTAATCTGCGGAAAAGTGGGGAATAGCGCCATGAAGTCGAAGTCGCCAACCCGGGGTCCCTCCCCATCACTGCGGAACGGTAAGGTACGAAAATTTGCGCTCGAGGGGCTTGCAAGATTGTCTACAGATGTGTTTTCGGAGAACGGCCTGGCGCATATGTCCATCTCCGAGCCTATTAAGCCTTTCGCTGGCGTCGTAATTTGCGTAACCGGCTTCTCGCGAGGTGTGTGTCTCTGTCTTGCTCTTCCTGGGTCCGACTTCTTCTTGAGGTCATCTTTGCATCGTGTTATATGCCAGGTCCCGCCCACCTTTCGTGCTTCCATTGAAGCTATTTGCCAACTTCTTTACTGTATTGCAGCGGCTCGTAAGGACGTGCAGATCACCACAGAGCGTATGGGGGGCCAGTACAGCCGAGACCTCCACCTCAACTGCACACATCTTGTCGTCCAAATATCCTTGCAAACTGTGTGTTTCTTGAAGTTTCTTGATTCAGAATCTTGTAATCTGGCTTTTTTACATCCGAGTAAAGATTATAATTTAAGCACATAATTTTTTCTGGTAGTATACCTTAATCATCATTACAACTGTAGCGGTCGTAAGTATGAGCACGCTGTAAAGCATGGCGTGCACCGGGGCTTACACATCGTGTCAATGGCGTGGTGGGAGGACTGTGTGCAACACTATGGTAAGCCGCGGCGTCTTTCATCTTATCTGAAAGCAAACATTGAGTTCAGAAACAATGCATCGACGGGTTGTCAACGACGTCATGTCTTGTTTATCTCAATGGCGGGTTTCTGTTCTTGTAGCGCGACTGGATGAATCAAAGTACACGGTGTTAAGAAATCATCCAGTAGGATCTGATTTCGAGCACCAGGAGTTGCCCGAAGCTGTCGGTAGTAGTAACCGACGGAAATTGTCGTCCGCAAACCAGGACACGGAAGCAGCTATCTCCTTTGGCAACGCTGTCAACAGCTCCGGAGGCTCCTTGAAGAACTCATCCAGCATGTCGCGTACTCCACATTCTTCTCTCGCTACTGATAAATCTAGTCATGCCCTTGCTGGTGCTCGGTTTTACATCGATTCAGATCTTCCACTAGATTTACAATTGAAGGTGAGCTACATATGGATTTCTTGGTGCATTACATAGTAACCGCAAATTTCGTCCTCGCGCTTCTGGATACATAGTTTTCTTGACGTGCACCGGCCTTTCATGCATCTGTGGTAGAATGAAGTGTAGATTTTTAACTAAATCTTTACTGTTGAGAACGTGCACTTGCCCTAATTACTTTTCCATACCAGGCTCAAGACGCAGCGGAGTCGTGGGGTGCTACGTGTGTAGAGAATTGCTCCAAGGCCACCCATGTCGTCTGTGAATGTGAAACCATCTCCAAGTACATTGGTCTGAATCTTCATCTCGTCTCTGTAAGTGCTGAACCCATTGACGTTCTAGCAATTATAATCAAATGTCTTTCTTGGATTAAAATCTGGTGTTCACATTTGAAAGGTGAACACCGTAAAAATGCTATCCGGAAGAGCTGATGTTCGCAAACCTCGGTTAGCGATTATGTCGTAGAGATTCACCTACACGGATGAACGATAATCTTGCTTCTGTCTACTTTTATTTTGCTAAATTAGTACAATTTGATCTTTCTGTGCGCAGCCAATGTGGGTCATGTCTGCTCGAGATGGCTTCCCCTTGCGCTGTGTGCAATATTCAGCAGATCTTGCAAGAGATGTGGCCGACCTTCTTCTGGAATGGAGAAAGGAAGGGAACAGCACCAAAGTAAGTTCAAATTATTTTGATTGTTTCCAATTTCTCTGTAGCGATGGACTTTTAAGACCCATGTGGCTTTTGAAGTTTTCTAGCTTTAACATTGATCTATTTGGATGAAATCCAGCATTAATTAGTAACACCCAATCACGAAGCGACACACTTCATATGACCCAATGATTTATAAGTTGGTGGTGATCTACTGACAGAGTTTATTCGAAAAAGACACTGTGGTTCACAATAGCAGAGTAGCAGAGGCCACCCTGCAAGAAAGAGAGAAGAAAGCATACGAGGCAAAGGCAGGGGTTCGTCGAAGACGAGGACCTCGAATGCAGGTAAGCCTGGAATTAATTACTAGGACTCTCTGACTGTCTGATAACATTCATAGTTACAGGGAAAACAATTTGTTTACCGGTGGTCGGGGTATGGCATAGCTATCTAAAGGATAAGTAGAAGATCAGTGTTCTAATTCAAATTTCTCGTAATGGAGCCCAATTTGATTTGTCAATGGTTATGCACAGCCTTGTAGGACACTTCCTCGACCAAACACGCCGACTAGCCTGTTGGACTCGATCTGCTGGGTTGTTACAGAGCCCCCTGCGACTGCTCAAGTTTATACAAATAACTCAGGAAAGGAGGTGCCTGAGAAGGGCAAAGGTTTAGAAAACAGTCTAGGGTTTAAACTTCATAATGATCGGTACCATAACCCCATGGACGAAGCTTTGGGTACCGAGGTCTACACTAAACCTCTTACTCGAAGGTAAGCCTCTGGAAAACCTCCAGTTAATTACGACCACCAATTAAATAAGATTCGCGTTCAGTATCATAACCATAAACGACTGCATTCACGAGAAACTAGTCATTCGAAATACAAGTCGATAATGGTGAAGCCTTAATCATAAGATTGCATTTTCTGAATTGTGTGTATGTGGTTGTAGTGAAAGTCGTGAGATTGTGTTCCGATGCGCCTTCTTGACCATCCTCTTCCCCATCGACCGGTTCTCCGAGCTGGGACCATCGTCAAGGACCTTTTTCAGTGAATCAGGCTTCACCAAGGAGCAAATTCTCGACCTCGTCTACGCATTTTATCAGGTACTTTGCTTGGATCGATGCGTATTTTACTTGAAAGCTTACAATTCATGAAACCACATCCCCCCCCCCCCCCACACACACACACACATACACACGCACGCACGTCGATGTTGATTTCTGACCATGACGGGAATGAAACTGCAGGAGCCTTTGTCACCATCCGAAGTGGAGGCAGCGCTTCACACCGACTCCAAGCACGCGGATCGGTTACGTGGTTTGTACGCCTCCAAAGAGACCGACGAGCTCGGGTATGTCCCGATGATGCGATATCAGTTCATTGGCAGCCGCTTGCAATTCGAAGGACTCAAGCGATCCAACCAAGATCCAACTAGTCATGTCTACGACCTCTGGCTGGGGTCTTGAACACATCGCTTGCTGCAACTTCAGTGATTGAATTGCATGGCCGGTCCCACAGAATCCTCGAAGCTGAAAATCAGTGATCGCATTTGGTGCTGCAACGTAATCTACAAAACTGTATACATATCAACAAAATATGAGGGAACACTTGGTTACTGTAAACTAGAGTTCACAATGTTCATTATAGTGCTGTTTTGTAAAGCACTCCGGTGTGGTTTCTTGTATAAATTAGGGCAATTTTGTTGCACAATTGCCCATGGCAAAGTGAAAACTAGTGTAGATTTTCATAGTGCATGTGGGTATAACTGCATTTTTGTAGAAAACAAATACTAAACCTGAGTAGGGAAATGTAACCTCTTGAACAGTATAATTATTGATGGTGATGTTAAGTGCTATGTAAGGATCATGGAGGTTGTGGAAATATCGAACATTTTTTCTTTTTCTTTTTAGATTCTTTAGAAGTATTAGTGTGTTTTGAGAAGAACATAATTCACATTTTGGAATTAGATCGTAGGAGATTTTGATGTCTAATTCCCGTAAAATATCAGACTCTACTACGAAGAAAATGCACTCCACTATAAAACTCGTATCAATTATATTTTTTGTTTACCTAGCCACTTTTGTTAAAAATATGTTTGGTGTTCTTTTTAAAAAATGGTTGCTTTTCGTTTGTCAAAGAAAATCAATGGAATTTACCTCTTGAAAATAGTGTAGGTTAGAAGTTACCTTCTTCAATACTTCTTGATTGTGTTTTTTCTTAAATACCAAATTTTGTCAAGCACAAGGCAGCAACTTTCTTTTTCTTTTTATTTTTCTTCCTTTCTTGCTTTGTACTACAATTGTCAAGGCTATTATGGCTTGCGATTACTTTGTAATAAGTCCCATTACAATATGACACCATAGAAAGTAAACACTAACATAACACTTTGTTATGTGCAGGATTTGTTTAATCATATATATATATATATATATATTTATATTGGTTATAAATAGACAATTCTTTTAAAGGTCGTTTATCTAAAAAAATATAAAATATAAAATGGTGCAAGCTAAAATAGATACAATATGAATTATTAAATTTGACAATATCTTAAATGTGGCCATTATTAGAGCTTGGAACCAATATAGACAAACAGATCCAATAAACCAAAAGATCACATAATCTTATAACAAACCTAAGACAACATGTCATGTATTATAATTCTATTGCAAGAGGTAGATGATTTGCAACAAATCATGATTTCACAAATATTCACAAATTATAACTTCAAAGAGATTTGAGTCATTTTTTGCTACATCCAAATATTGTTAAGATTTTGGCAAATACTAAAGGTGGTAAATTATCAGAATGCAAAGATAAAAAAAATATTGTAATCTTTAAGTCAATATTCTATTAATATACCTTTTTATTTTATTTTATTTAATATATATACTAATTTTTTTAATATATTATATTTTACAAGATTATTGCTAATTTTATAAGATTCATCATATATCATATTACATTTTATAAAGACAAGTATTAATTGGATAAGTAAAAAAGTAAATCAAATCAAAACTAATTACATATTTTAGAATAATGTGGTATTATATTTTGCCATCTTTTTTACCTATATTTGGCTTTGTATACAAGATTATGGAATTTCACTAAAACCTTTAATAAATCTATATAGTTTTTAAATTAAAATTTATATTATTATTAATAATTAATATTTAATTGGCTATAAAATAAAATTTAGATTCAATAATTTTTAGTTATTTAATCATTTGTATTATCTTATTATTAATTTAAAAAAATGATTAAATAAAAAAATTACAAAAGACCAATAATTAAGTTTATATTTAAATCTTTTAATCAAAAATTTATCAACACTTAATATTTTTATTGATAAACCAAAAGGTATATCCAAGATTTTATTTAGATTGTTAAAAGAGGCTCATTTCTATCCAAATACTTTAATATATAAAGATATTATAGTTTTTTTTTTTTTTTTTTTTTTTTTTTTTTTTTTATTTTTTATTTCTACCAACATGCAACACATTTGAACTAGTTTTTTTTTAAACCAAAAATAAGGATAAAATCTTGTATATTCTTCATTATTTTATTCTTATCTTTTAATTGTGATTGTTGAATCATTTATATGTTGATAAATAATCTCTTGATAAGAGTTCTATAAAATATTGATGCTTTATGATGTTTTAACTACTTCTTAAATTGTCATATTAAGCATTTTTAACAATAATAAATAAACAAAAGATCCAAAAGGCACCCTTACTTTAAACCTCTCTAAATAAAAAATTGTGTGGTAAAAAAGCTCTTTATCTTGACTATTGCTTGAATACCCTAAATCTAAGTTTGATCATTTTGAAAAATCATACCTTGAATCTAAGTTTTTTGCATATTTTGAAGAAAAAAATGTCAAAAAACCTTATCATTTGCTTTGAATTTTTTTTGATTTATAACCAGCAATGGTTGTTTTGATATCTTAATCTAAGTCATAGTTTTCTGAATGACTAAGACCATACCAAGAATCAAACGGATAAATAAGAAAGTCATTTTTTTAAGATGGATAACTTCTATTAAAATCAACTAGAGTTGTTATAAGAATTTTGTATAAATCTTACAAGAAGTATATGATTATGTATTTGGCCTCTAATTACTCAATAATAACTTTTTTTAGTATAAAATAATGTAATAAATCTTTATACAATATCTTATGGATGTATATACTTTTTAAATTTATTATTTAATCCACCATATTGAAATTCCTTCACCAATAATATCAAAAAAGTTTTGTGAAATTCAATGTATACTCTATTTGGTCTTGAAACCTTGTCAATTGTAATTTTTTTAATGACTTCTTTAAATTTACCAAGTGAAATTAATAAAATCAATTTGTAATACTAACATCATTTGAAATATTTTAAAATATTAATATAGTTGCTTCTATAGATTCCTCCAACGACATATATATTTTATACAAAAAAACACAAAATGTATAGTATGGTGAACTTAATTCTATGGATTTTATATTTTTTCTTTGGTTTTGATACTAAAAACAAAATTAATATTTCTAGTTTGTCTTTCTATTATAACATTAAAGAAGTTCTTTAAATTGCTACAATCTAATTTCTTCCATTTCATTTTAGCATACAATTTTTGGTTTTCTTAGTTTCTATTCTTTAAATAACCTTAATCTACGTTGGCATCTTTTAACCTAGCTTAAATGATTATTATTTAAAAGTTCTATATGAAGTATTTTGTGGATGTCTTTGACTATGCCTTAAAGTTTTGTAATCTAACTTGATTTACAAAAAAAATTGTTCCTAATAATTTTTTTATAAAACCAATTAAAATTTTTTATTCTACTTATAAAAGATCTTTTATATTTGGTAGAAGTCCATGTAGCTTAAACTTCTAAGATTCTAAAATCTTGGAAATGAAATACAATCATTATATATATATAAGTATTTTTTCATCCTTTTTTAAAGCATGAGTTATATAAAATCCTATCTCTAAAAGTATTGAAAATACATGTCACGGATATATATCAACTATAATTGTTACCTAGGTAATATGAATAGGTAGAAGTAGATAAAAGTATATTGATTTCATAATATCTTTTAGAGAAGCTGTGAGTCATCAAATTAACTCACTTATTATTTTAGGATAAAAATATGCATTTAGAATGCTTTAAATCACAATATATAGTGAGTAGTGTAGAAATCCTTAGAGAAATATAAAATTAGAATGGTAGTGGTGGAAATGGAATCTTAGTAAGTCTTGGAGGCAATTATCCTCGTTGGTTTAGTATTTTTATTTTATTGTTGAATATTAAGGATTATTTGTTAAGACCAATATTTATATTGGTCTTCTATCTATATGTACTACTTATAAAAACTATAAATGTTAGTATTTAGAAGAAGCATGAGAAAGAACCTCAGGACATTTTAGTTATTGATATAAAAAATAGGATTTATATTAGATTTAAATTGATTTTTATTATTATCAAAAATCATCAAGGTAGAAAAATGTATTCTTAAATGGATGTTAGCATTATAGAAATATATAGAATTTTTTAGAATTTATTTAGAATGTATTTAGAATTTTTAAGGAATTTTTAGAGTAATTTTTAAGATCTTGGTAAAAATGAGTTTTATTACTTTTGGAGCCTTTATGAAGAAATGGAGCAAGATTTGAAAGCCACACATGGGTTCTAGGCTAATTGGGTGTTTTTGAACAGCATGGCGAGGTCAAAATTTCTAAAATATTGGTCCTTCTAGTAGAAAATAGGAGAACCAATAGCTAGTATAGTTCTTGTAGGAAGGAAAGTGCATAAGTTCCATATAGGTTGTAGCACCTTGAAGGTAGTTAGGAGGATAAGACTAAGGTTTCGTGGCCTCTCTTAAATACCCTTATATACTACATGTGAACCTTGATGAGGCTCGAAGCTTTGATCTATAAGCAAGTTACTTTTGAAGTAAAATATTTTCACTTCATTTTTTTAATTATTTACTTCATATCTTTAAAACTTCATAACTTACTCATAATAATTTGGATTTACATGTTTCTTATATCATTGAAAAGATAATAAAATTAACTATTTAAAAATATAATTTTTATTTTTCACTTTTATTTTTTATTGGGTAAAAACATAGTGAATAGATTTATAAAATAAAGTCTTCTTCACTTTTGTCAATTCATTTTTTTATTTTTACTCTATTTTCAAGAGTCTCTAGTTTTCTTGTCTTTTAGTAATAGCCATTCTAAATTTTTTTTAATATACAAACTTATCTATTTTTATTTTTCATATTTCTTTAAAAAAACCTCACTTATTTATTTATTTTTATTGAATTTTTATTTTTAAGAAATTCACAAGAGTATACTTACAATATCAGAGCTTTATTTATTTTTGATTAAGTGTTGATTATTCCTTTTTTTTAATAAGATTTAAGCATATTAAGATCTGTGGACTATCCTCTTCTAAAAAGATATTGTCTTTAGTATTTTTTCTTTATTTTCAAGTCATTTCTTTTATTTGTCTTGAGCAATATTAGACATTTTTTTTTTTTAATTATTATTATGAAAGAGCTTCTTAAAATGAAGAGTGCAATGACACAAATATAAGAACAATTGAAAAAAATTATACTTGCAATGCATCAATTCAATTTACTGCCACAAGAAACAACAAAAATGATAGGGAGCAAAGCTATAGAGATGATTGGAGCTGCTTCAACATTTGTACCAAATCATGTTCTTTTTTTTATAGTAGAATATCATTCTAATATTAGAAAATCCAAGATTGTACTGCTCGAGAGTTTGAAGGCTCAAGATTCAAGTTTTGAAGATTTATCAATCAAGTACAACTTGTGATTGAACTTCAATTTCAAAGCTATCCAATTCCAGGATTACAAGTTAGATTCATTTGTATACTTCTTTCAA